TTTTGACATCATAAAAGTTTCCGCCCTAGTCCCGCGGTAAAAAAAAAACAGCCATAATCGCATTTCCTGCACAAGATAATTTCCATAGCTATACATCTCCAAGGATCGTGAAAACATTATTCGCATACAAAATTGAAAAAAAAAAATTAGTTTAGTAGTCAATATAACATGCTTCTTACTTCAAACATTTTATATAGACTTTTTTACGCGACCCAGCCTACTGTTTATGAACATATTTGCCACCTTTGTTGTTCATATTTTACACCATTATTGTTCGCGTCCATGAAATTCCTGCCTGAAGTGAATATTACTGTCAATTTTGATTTTATCGCACACACAAACTCATTTCACTACACATGTGTACAATACGTACTTTAGGGTGCGCCCTATTTTTCAACTTCGATAGATTCATTTGGTCATAAAAATGTGCTCTGCGAAAAAATTTCAAAATCGGATAATGGAAAGACGTGCCTCAAGAGCCTTAAAGGTATGCAAAAAAAGGCTCTATAACTTCCTGACCTGACGAGATATGAAAACGGCGTAGTCATACTATTAAAGATTAGCGCACAAAAATCTGTTGATTGATACGAAGTTAATAATCACTTTTTAATGAATTATAGGCTCTTTTTCGTATTTTATGTAAAAATTTAGTGAATTAGCGTATGCAACTTTAGGACTCTTCCCAGTAGATAATTTCAGGAGTTAAAAGCCCTTCCGAAAGGCCTTCATGAGTCAAGAGGCCTTCCACTCTACATTCCTTTCTCCTTTTTTTTGTATGGAGTGGCACAAATTGAAGGGCTTCTTCTTTCGCTACCCATGGAAGGCCTTCCAAAAGGGCTTTTATAGGTGTTCTTTTATAGTTCCTTCTTTTATTTATAAAAATCATACATCTTTGAGGTATTTGCTTAATGTTTATACCAAATATGTGTTAGTGCAACTTAAAATGTTTATTGAAACTCATTTGTAATGCATTCCCGTAAATTGTAAATGTACAAGCCCTTCTAGAAGGCATGCAGAGAAGCCCTTTTTCAGCCCTTCTTGGGTAGGCCTCTTAGAATGGCTTTACTTAAGAAGACCTACCTAAATTATCTTCTGGGTTGAGGCACGTCCTTTCGTTATTCGGATTTGCAAAATTTTTCGCAGATGGGGAGTTTTGCTTTGTAACTTACAAAAAAATTATCTGAACACAAATAAGGCGTACACTAATGTAATGTCTACTTTTGTATGTATACCTCTGTGGCAGGATTACTGAATGCAAATAATAGAGTTTTTTTGTATCCTACCTCCCGCTTCTACAAAATCGATTATTTGTGGCTAGTCAGTTTCCAACAAAAAAAAACACATGTACATATGTATGTATATTGAACGTCAATTTGAAGTCAATGAGAAATTTAAGTGAAGGTGTTACCAGTGCAAACATATCATAGCAATGAAACAGTGTACATGCACGCCTGTATGTACATACACAATAAATCCACAATAATATATGGAATCTGGTATATTAATAGCATACCTTCTATATACAGTTGCCGAATAAAAATTTAGAAAAATGACAAAGTTTTCAGCATAAAGTTACTCAAATGTACATTTCGCTCCGAAAAACAATTATAAAAAAATATTTCCTTACTCCTGCCTATCGAAAAATAGAGCATATCGTCAGTAAACACGAATAAAGGCGTGCTAGTGTTTCGACGGCGAAAAAAGACGCGTAAAAAAATTTTACGAAAAAAGGCGCTTAAGAAAAACTTCGGCGAAGAAAGGCGCGTAACTTAGTTGACGGCGAAGAAAGACGCGTTATCATAGATTTATACTTGGCCTAGGACTGTCACTTCGGCATCATTCCACAAATCTTTTTGGGGAATTTGCATACTGTTACCCCCGCAAAAATATTTTACCGCGAAAATAAGTTTACGCGTCCTTCTTCGCCGTCAACTATGTTAGGAGTCTTTCTTCGTTGAAGTTGTTTTATGCGCCTTTTTTCGCGGTCAACTTTTGAGCTCATGCCTTTGTTCGTGTATAGTGAAGATATGTTCAAGGCAGAAAAAAGGAAGGAAGGTTACCTACTAAGGGCCGCTAGTTCAATGTCTGGTTAGCACAAATCGGAGATAGAAACTCCGGTTAAATGCAACGACTGCTTTATTGATCACATGTTATATGCATAACAGAAATGTTTTACTGGGAGGTAGAAATAACCAGACATTGAGAAACTGGCCCTAAGGGTTGACATTAACTAACAGGTTAAACATCGTTATCGACGTGATCGCCTCCAT